GGTCGGGAAAAACAAATCCTTGAAAAAAAAGAAAACCAAAAACATGCTGCTGCCATACAGATGACATGAATAAACCATGCAAAGTGCACCATGTATACTTACCACCTCGTTGGAGCCAGTGTCAAGACATTGTATGGTGTTCACGTGTGCACTGTGTATGTACATGTACATATTGCATGCAGTTCTGTTTTTTTCCATCGCGCTCCGTACATGAAGTACATTGGGTGCGGTATGGTACTGCTCGGTCTGGTAGTGGTGCAGTATTGTAGATTTTGACTGTTGCTACGTTGATGTTTGGGCAGAATCTATTTTTTCAGCGCTGTTTTTGTATAGGTCATCACAACCTACTTTTTTTAATAGGCAAGGTCCTTTCTGCAGGGTCGGTGGAAAAGAAGGCTTGTTTTTTTCGAGGTCGGAATCCAAAAATAGGGTTGGTCGGAAATGAGAACCATAGAATTTAAATAGGGGGCCCTTATGCAGATGGTGGATCTATAGACACAAATTTTCTCAATGATCAGGTTGTGGCTTTTGGTGTCATATTTGATATCATATTCATCAGCCATTTACAAAGTTCAATTGAGTTTCAAGGTAGTTAGAAAAGTGCCTAACATTTGACAGTAATTTGGATTTGTTCGGCTGCCTTCTGCACGTCTGTGTTCCAGTTCTTATTGAAATGAATACAAATACTCCCAAGAATTGTGAGTGATTGTTTTTCACACTCCTTTTCACTTACAAAACATGCAAGATTAATGGACAATTTTTGTAATTTTTGGTTCAACCATGATGAATTTTCCCCCACTTTTCAGGGTGAGTTGACATTTCAAATCTTACCAAAATGAGAGAAGGCATGAATTTAAGGATAATGTTAGCATTAAAATTAAATTAATGAAATTGAAAAAAAAATCGGATGCCTCTTGATCCATCTGCTCGGCAGAGTTTGTCTTCATCTCCGAAGGCATGTCTCAAATCTGGTCTTGAAATCAGCCACTTGGGATAGTTGATGTCAAGGCCAATTTACTCCTCCAAGCTAGTTGCTGGAGGAAACCCTCCTCTCTCACTGCAGATAGTTTACTGCTCTGCTGCTAATCACATTTACTTGCATCTTTCCTCGGCCCTGCTCTGTCGTCTTGTGGTTTTGCCCTCTCACACTGAGCCCGGGGAGTGGATGGAAACTGAAGCCAGAATTGCTCTCCGGAATCAGGATTGAGCTTTGGCAGGAGCCTTCCCGAAACAGACACAGAAATAGCTGGCATGGTTCTTGTACAAAGTTTTTTGGTCCTAAGTAGTATTTTCATATAATGATAATGGAATTGCACCTTGACTGGTTTCTGGATGAGTGCGCTCTCCATATCTATATTATTATTATACTAAGTAGTATTTTCATATAATAATAATGGAATTGCACCTTGACTGGTTTCTGGATAAGTGCGCTCTCCATATCTATATTATTATACTAAGTAGTATTTTCATATAATAATAATGGAATTGCACCTTGACTGGTTTCTGGATAAGTGCGCTCTCCATATCTATATTATTATTATTCCACTCTTGATGATTTGGTCTTAGTTGTAAGCAGTGTTTATCGACAAAATGTGTTTTTTCTTTACGTTGACATGACCTATATCAGAAATTATATTCAGAAAGGTTTGTCGTTCATTTGTGAATTTGTAGATTCACCAACATAAAAAGAAAATAAGGAAAATGCACTTGCTTAAATATTAATCATCTGTAAAAATGTAAATGTTATGCTTATTTCCTAGCTTTCAGTTAAGCATGGCCAATGTTTCCAATCCCTGAGGAGGAGGAATTTCTGCCTTGAATGGGAAAAACTTGAGGATTGCCTTGATAGATATACATGTACCTGTACCCTCTCTGTGAATCGCACATGTGTCAACCTGCTTGATTGAGCCTCTTGAAGGATTGTGGAGGTTGACTGGATCCGACAAAATGAGGCTTAAGTCCATTTTGTCAGAAACGTTGTTTTGGTTTGCATGGAAAGATCAAACAGCGCCCTTCGTTCTGTTGTATCACTAAGCTTGGCAACCTAATGAAAATGGACATTGTGTGGGTGAAAACCGATGAGGGTTCCTATTGATCTATATTGTGCTGGATGTTTTAAAGACCTTTAACTCAGAATTGGCTCAGGTGACTTGCGACTCATTTTGTTCAGTAGAGTTACATGTGTATAAACCCAACTGAACCAAATGTGGTTACCTGCATTTTAATCACAGGGCTCCCGTCATTTTGATTGCCTTATATAATGTTGACTGGCAACCTCCCTACACTGCATCGGGCACATCAGCATTGTTGGAAACAGCCAGCTCTTGCTTTTGCTTTTCCGTGAGCTTTCTTTTGAAAATGTCAGGTGGTAATTACCTTTCACTCAAATGAAAAGTCAGCTGGGAGGGGGGGACTTATTAAATTAATTACCGGTAGCAGGGGCTCGGTCTCAATGTTGGCTGAGACGTGCTCCATCATAGTGAAGTGGGGGAGACCCAGAAAGTGGCCGGAGACCTTGAGATTCAAAATGTCAACCCCCTCGATAACTCAGTTTGTAGCACGTAATGTATCCCCGCCATAACCCCCCCCACAGGCAGAGATATCGATGAGCTACAGTTATCGCCCACTCAGTCGCCAAACTGTTGTATACCTAGCAAAATATCAACCTGTGTTATGTTACACAACAGTTGGGAACCAGAAGAAATATTTTGAATGAACATTTGCAACCAATCTGCGTGTTTTTATGTAGGGAAATGTGAGCAGGTCTTTTGTAACATGCATGTGATGCTTGGCCAATTAAACATAAAACGGAAGCAAATTGTAAATATCTGTCCACAAGTTTAATCGTAACCCTCATGTCCCTGGTGTGTGGCACTTCTGCACGGAGATACATGTACAGGGTGCCCCAGAAACCAAACCCTGCTTGTCCTGGTTGAAAGTGACAACAAAAGGTCATGTTAATAAGGGAAGATTGCCTTTTGTCACTTTCAAGTTATGCAATAATCTGGTTTAAATGTGTTGACTTGCCCCAAGGTAGGCCAGTGCAGTGTTGAAAAGTGTTCGAAGCAGAACAGCAAGTCTGCAACATGGTGCAACTTACCAAAGAGCAAAGAGTGTTTGTCGTGACGAAATTTCTTGAAAACCAGAGCTTTCAAGCCTCCCAAGCACGTTGCTGCAGTTCAACAGCAACTTGTCGAACAGCCAAGGGGAACCAGTTACAGGAGGAATGGACTTGGACACGCGGACGGTGTCGGTGCCTAATTAATTGTGAATTATGTAATGTGTAAATATTTGGTGTGCCCCTGATATCTTATCCAGGACAATCATGACAGAGGACAACCTCATTCACTGGTTTATCCAAAGTGTTACAACTGAGTTCGGATGCCCCATTTTCAAGACGATGGTGCTCAGTAATGCATGACAGGAGGGATACCATCAAAGTAGAAAGAATACTGCTTCTTCTTTTCGGAGATCCTTATACGTTATAATCATATCTCATGGTTTGGGCATATTAACTCCTTTCCTCAGGGTTTGTTTTTTTCTGGGACACCCTGTATATCAGTTTGTTGCCATTGGTATTTTCAGTGCAATGCCATGCAAAGGTTGCGACAGATGGGACAGAGGTTCCTTTTCTGATTGAATGTTACGTCACTGTGTTGTAGCTTAAAACTACAAGACTGTTCACAAGGCCAGTCTACAAGACCAGTCACATTTAAGAGGGTGAAAAATGACTGAAGGAATGCTTTTGGTGCATTTCATTTGAGTAGCTTGTGGCTTGAATTCAGACTGGAGGTCTTGTGGTGGTCTTGTGGTAGTCTCTCGGGCACATGACCACAGCACTGCATGGAAGTTCACTGAAACAATTGCCACATTAAGCAAACATGTACATGTACTGTACATTACCATCCTAAACTGAAAATGAAATCTCATTTTTTCTTGTTCTACATGTACTTTGCTGCAGCTTGAAATTAGAATTATTTGACAAGTGGTTGGAGCCAAGTAATTCGGATGTGGCTTTGTTTTTTGAAAGAATGTCTTCGGCATTATACATCATTGCCTTTATTTAGTGCTGAAAGTATAAATGCAGTGTTTTGGTGAATGACAAATATTTATGTATTCAAAATTAAAAAAAAATTATGTCATATCAAATAAATAATTTGAGTCTGTGGGCTTGATAAGAACTGATGGGTTTTAAGTCTTTTTTGAGGAAATAAAATTGTGGATGGGCCGCAGATTTCAAGTGTGGTTTTCCTCTATTCCATGGAATTTTTTATTTTTTTTTTTTGAGGAAGAACATTTTTGTTTTTATTTGTTCTGCACGGTCCCTGTTCACGAAAGTTGACTTGTCCTTTGTACCTCCCAATTACTAGGAGCGGTTTGTCCATGGGCGTCAGCTGTCCCTTAGCAGTAGATTTCCGGCCGGTTTTTATTGTTTTCCCACAGAAGTGGAAAGCGCGCATCTGTCTCTCGAGGAAATGAATCCTGGGTTCTCATTTGTTGCCCAGACAACAGCCAGCTGCCACGATTGAGTCTGGCGGTGTGCATTAGATGTCGCTGTCCGATGATGAATGCCATTTCGACGCAAATTATCCTATCATGAAAATGCTTTACATCAGTCTTAATGTTAAAGGATATCCGACTCTCTGTGAAATTTTTGGTGAAAGGGCAATTTCTTTTGAGGCACCCAGCAGGAGAAATTCTCCTCTTGCTCTGATGATTCAAGATTTTTGTATAAAGTGTTGAAAAATCATGCTAGCAATCCTTTGATTTTTGGGTTAAGACTCTGAAAGATTGTAGGAGTTTCAGCCCAGTCACTTTTAGCCCCTGAAGGCTTTTCAGTAGTGCAAATACTGTGTTATCAGGTTTCTGCAAAGTGGCAGATTCAGAAAAAAAAATTTCAGGTTACATTCTACTAAGTTTTCACTTTCACCAGCACTTTCCCAAGGTGTGATATACTTTGATAAGCTTGGAGGTCCATCTTACATTTGTGTCTTCTGCAGGAGGCAAGTTACCTGAGCAAAGTGGGGCCCATCTTGGACCCCTACGCCAAGGGAAACGTGGAGGACCGGACCATCACGGTGTGCAGCGGGTTGGACCTGGTCAACATCAACTACATGCACATGGTGGCCTCCACATCCGAACTGGCTCAGGTAGGTGGCGTCAGGACTTTCCTCAGTCCTGCATATGAGACTGATTCGCTCTCTCAATCTGCAGATTACACGTACATGTACATGGCCTTATAAAATAAGGGTTTCTCCTGTGATACCATCTCATCACACCTCAGTGCATTTACGGCCACAACAGGTCCTGGGATGGAAATGCCAGGAGGTCATACTTTCATCTAGGCTCTCGAAGAAAATACAAGCAGTCACAGTAGAGTGACTTAAAGCCTTTTCACACCAGATAAATATCAGGGTTGATGCAGGGTGGAAAACTGGCGACGATTCACACTTTGCGCCGTTGAAAATGTTCAACCGTGCACCAATTCTTCCTCAACCCTGAGATGGACTTAAATCCTTGGTTGAACTCAACCCTGCTCTGGACCAGGGTTGAGATTTTCAACCCGACTTGTACATTGTTATGCTTATTTCCTGGTTGCACTTCTTCCGAGAAGCTTGGTTTGCACAGAACAAGTGTGAAGCAGTGCCGGGTTTACCATGGAGTTGAAAATATTTGAACATATGTTGAAAATACAAAGATGTAAATAGTAATCAGACCAAACTTTTCAGTGAATGGCAGTGTGGATTCTTGACAGCAGAAGCTGGAATAGATGCCCGCCAGGTGTTAAATAGGAAGACCTTCACACGTCTGCATGGGCAAAATCTTGAGCCATGTTACTGGTCCATGATTAAAAATGGGGGCTCTGTGGGTGAGGGATACCTCTTACTGATTGCTGGCTGACTCCATCAAAGTGTAAATCTCTAAGGGACATGGAGCCGAGTCCACTTTTTATACCTTGAACCTGATCAAATTACACGTGCCTCTGACTGACTTTAATCGAGACGTCATGAGCGGGTACAGTGTAGATTAAAGGCCTGTTTACTTTGCCACAAGGTGATGTTCACACACCTCAACGTGGCCACACCAGAATTACTTTAGCTGTAGTTGGAAATAACCTGTGAGCCTATGGGAAATGGAAATAAGCCTTACGTTATGGCTTTCACACACCAGATTTGTCAGATTTGTAATATCAGGATTTTTTCATCAGGTGTAAGAAGAAACCCAAAACAGAATCTCAAACAGAAACAGAAAAAAGGCAGAAGCAAAATCCTCAGCTGAAAGACATTTGAACAAGAAGATGTTGCACAATGTAAAGGTCACTTTTTGCCTGAAGTCAGATGGTTCCTAAATTGTCTCCTCCAAAAATTGTATCACATTAGGTCTCCGGCATTTTCAAGCTTCAAACTTGCTCTCTGTCTTTTTTTAATCCCTCCGGAGTCCGAACATGAAATCTTTCTCAAAACCAAAAGCAGATTGAATGTTGACATCCTGGAGAGAGGGAGAGACTTGTCATTTTCCTCCCCTCCCTTCCCCCCCCCCGGAAGTGGGAAATTGTCTTTGGAGGGGTTGCATGAAAGCTATACGTCGTTAAGGTATGAAATATGGGGCAGGCCTTTTCCAGTTAACAAAGCAAAAAATAAAAGTGCCTCTGGGCATGAATTGCTGCCTGATCAAAGGGAAGGTTTAAAAAACATGTGAAAACAAAACACAAAAAGCGTGCGCTTATAGTGAAGTACTTGTGATGTGATAAGACATTTTCCCAAGAAATAGTCGGCAGTTAGTTGTACATTTTTTGAGTGCTTATTTTGAAAATCTGGAAAGGTTTTTATTCTGGGTCTTTGATGGAAGAGGGATCTTTTTGAAATATACACTTATAGAGCTTTTGCACGGCAGCCATCTTCCCGATCAGTGCTTTTGTTATGGGGGATATGCGCAAAAGGTCTACCCATGTGTATCTTTGCAGAACAAAACACTGACCGGGAAGATGGCTGCCATAGATAAGCTCTATATGCTTGATATACCTTGAACAAGGATGTACATGTGATCCTACTATATTCCTTTTGGATCTCAGTTTTTGTTTGTCGTTTTTGTTGTTTTTGATGTACAAATTTTAAGCCAATACAGATATTTGCATTTCCTGTGTACCTGGCACTTCTGGCAAAAATGTCAGGGCCCTCTTTCCATTTCAGCGTGAAGATACGTACATGTTATTTTCAGTGAAGTTAGCCACCACTGATTTTCCTGGTTGTTCTTTTTCAATCTTCTCATGTACACAGTTAATTTGCAACTTCTGTACAAGCGTTTGATTTGCTATTCTTAGAATCTCTGCCAAATTTTCTTTCAGTGGCCAAAGTGTGTTTTTCTGATTTAGCCAGAACAGCACGCTTGTACAATGGCTTGATTACTGACTAATGGTAAGGCGTATAGATATTTAAAAAAACAAATAGAACGACCAAATTAAAGAGATAATGCCTACAGAGACAGTTGGCAATGTTTGCATATTCCAGGCATTATGCAGCCTGCATGCCCTAAACCATGGCAATAGGGATTGAGGCATCCACTGAAACAACAGCTCTGCCTGAGTGATGCACTAGCCCAGGAAAAAAAAAATTCCTGCACCCAAAATGATTTCAATGACATCACATAGCAACCGGCTCTAAGTGCATAGCGACCGGTTGGAGGGTCGTGTAGCCTGTTCTGTGATGTCATATAGTCCCTGGCTTGCTGCTGCAAGAGGCCTGCCGGTGGGACATGTACAAGAATGCACTGATGTACATGCAGTTCATGTTCATGATTTGTCTTTACCGAGTAATGATATCCATGTACAGCAGAGATGAGTGCATGTTTCTGGAGTGGTTTATGATTGTACATGTACATGTAGTGTTGGAAAAAAATAATGAGAGGAATTTTGAAAATGGTTTGGGTGGTTTCACTGAAAATGTTTAAACCTTCATGTATTTTGCTCTTTGGGAAATTTGTCACAGTTCCCCCCCCCAAGTCGTTCTTTTATTTAACCTTCATTGGGTTTTCTTTGTGGCTAGAAACATTGAAAGAGCTTGTTTGGCTGTGTGGCCTAGATGTAAAACAGTTTTGCAGTTGTCCATTTGTTGGCCAGAGTGAACTCTGTTCTTGTGGATAAAATGTTGAAAAATGAAATTTTTCCTGCTCGTGCCAATGATGTAATTACCACCTTCACAAACCATCCCTATACCTGGCTCAGGGAGCAAGACCAAGATGGATGAAGGCCTGATAAACTCACTGCCATACTTGAAATGCCAGTGCTCATCCTTCCCCTGACCCCCACCGTGGCCTCACCTTGACACCCTCGGTATTGAATCTCATCGACTTCCTCCTCTCCCATTCCCATCTGGTTGTAATGGGTTTTAATGGATTTCCTTTTTTTTCCCCCCCATATATATCATCTCCATGCAGGAGTGGTTTGATGGTCTCCTGAAGATCACGCACAACTTCAAGGCCAACAATGTGTGCCCAATGACGAGTCTAATGAAGCAGTAAGTTACAGCTGGCTGCAGCGCTGTCTGAGACTGACGTGGCCAAAGACTTACCAGAATCAATAGCCATCGACTCATGAATCTTTCATGAGTTCTCTGTACCCTTTTCAAAAAAGATCACCCGTCCCCAGGCTCTGTGGGGATTTGGCAGATCATTTTAACACGGCGTTCTTTGGTGTTCTTTGTGTTCCCTAACAAAATTGTTTGAAAGAGAATTATGAATGTGGGAGATGCATATTCAGGAAGTGTTATTTCACTTTTTATCCTGTGTTTTTAGAGACCCTTTAACTACCTTTACTTTTCTCTGAACTTATTTGTGCATGTGTGTGAAAAGGTGTTTTTCAGCACTCATGACATCATGGCAATGCAATTTGACACCTGCAGTAATATGTCGGACACTACTTTCCCCCGTCATTTCATGTGATGAAACTGTTTCCAAATGTTTTTGACCAGCGCTAACAGTATTTCGATGTACACATGAAGTGATTTTTTTGGCAATCAGGTTTGATTACACGTGACAAAAGAATATGGCTCTGACTGTAGTAACTCTAGACTTGCCCATATATTAGATAGATATCACTCAGGAGAAGTAAAGATCAGTTCATCATTGTAAACTGTTATCCAACCCCGACAAAATGAGTCTCACGTCACCAGCACCATTTCTGAGTGAAAAGTAGCAGCTTGCCCTATGTAAATTGATTGGGAGCCATCAATATTTTTCATCAACGTAATGTCTGTTTTCATCAGAATGCCCAAACTGAGTGATGCATCAAAAACAAAGGCCTCAGTGCGCTCTTTTGAACGAAAAGTAAAACAAGATTTTTTAAAAATAGTGGCCTGAGGGCTTTCTGTGTTGGATCCGGTTGCCAACGTGCATAAAGTTTGCCGGAAGGCCTAAAGGGAACTGACTCATAAAGCACACACCCTCAGTTAGGAAGAAGCATACGGTACATCCAAGTAACAATATCCTTATGCAACCCTCAGCATACAATGGCGGCATGAATTGAAGGGGGGGTTGGGAGAATCTGATCATTGAACAACCCGAGCATGAGATTTTCCCACAGGAACGTGAAGTGTAGGAGTTCATTGCCTCGGCGCAGTCGATAACTCCGGCAACTCTAGACTGGGAGAGCTGACGGAGGAGTTCTTTGTTCCCCCCCCCACATCTCCTGTGTCACTCACCCACTATTTTCTCTTTCCTTGTCTTTCATGTTTGTCATTGACTTTTTTTGTTTGTTGACAGTTGGATGAAGATTTGCATTCAGGTAAATCCGAGTGGCAATATACCGGTGCGCAACCTCACCAGGACCTTCGCCTCAGGCAAGACGGAGAAGATCGTCTTCAAGTCTCTGGAGGAACTTGGGCTCCCCTCAGGAAAGGTTAGATATCAGGGTAGGATGGGTGGGGTTGGGGGTGGAGTTGGGCTGTAGGGCTGGGGTTTGGAAGGAGTCCCAACAAGCCCGATCAGATTTTTTTGGTGTAATTTGTTTCTCAAAAGTATGATCTTAGGTATTTTTTAGGCTGACTTCAAAACAAGTTTGTTGCACCAATTAATCAGGTAAAATTTCATCATGAAACTTTTGTTTCAAGTTCTTAAAAGTGATTGTTGTTGCAGTTCGATGACCCGAGTGCCCCTCCCCCCTCACCAAAACACAACAAAACATACGAAAACAAACACCAAAAAAACCGAGGCACTCTATATTACATTAAGTATTAAGATCAGTTAAATTCTAACAGTTTTCATGTTTAAATTTTTCTTGAATATTGTTGGATTGTTTTGAGGAAATTAAGACGTTTCTAGTAAGAAATTATGAAAGAGCCGGATCCTGCTACCACAGGAATAAGTTACAGCACGGTGTACCACTGGTTGCTCAGAGCAGTCTTTATACATGTATGCCAACATCTGGCTCACAAATGATGTTCTCTTTGCATAGGCCAATGTCTTTTCTGGGCAAGTTGTGGAACTGTTGTGCGCGAACAATGATTCAATCGCCTCAACAGGGTTTCCAAGTGCATTTTTGCGTGTTTGCAATAAACCACCATGGAGAGTACATGTAGATGATCTTGTTAAGGACGGTGCTTGTAAGATTGCGACCATGGGGTTGAAAAGTGGCCCCTTCAGTGCAGAGGCAGGGCGCAAGGTACTGTCACGTGACTCCACTTCCGGTGGATATTTTACTGCCTAACTAACCCTAAAAGATTATGGGGAGTGGCAAAATGCCAGGCATGCAAAATGTCATCACTCATCAATGTTGAAGGTTAATAGACAACTGAAATATCAACTGGCCTGTGCACCGATGACGTCACACTTTACGTGTGCACTTTCATGAACCCAGCGGAGCTAACAGGCCACTGAGCTCTACTGCTTTCCCGTGGAGCTCAGGGGCCTGTTTCACTCCACTGGCTTCAGGAAAGTGCACATGTAAAGTTTGACGTCATCTTTGCGCAGGCCAGTAGTGCAAAGGTCTATTGTACAGCTACTTTCACTTTATGCATGATTTTTTTTGTTTTCCAGAATGATGAGATAGATCCTCAGACATTCCCTTTTAGCAAATTCTATGATCTCTACCACAAGATATGCCCCAGGACAGACATAGAAGATCTCTTCAAACAGATGTAAGTTTTCCAGAGATTGTTGCAACAAATAGCATCATTCTGTGGCTAATAGAGCAGTGCGCTCCATTTGTAAGCACTCATAGGGGGAGATAGTGAGATGAGTTTTGATCATTGTTGCTTTAATTTCCAGATGCTTACGTCCAGTTGTGCCCATTCCAATGAAAATTGGGCATGTTTATTCCGTGCATTATGCACTTGAAACTACATGTACATGCTTAGAAGGATTTCATCTGTGATTTCAATATTAAAGTGGCCATCCTCTAGTCTCACCAGCTTTTTCCGTCGCTGATTGTCTTGCAACGGGCGTAGGTCCAAAGTTAAGGGAGTAGGGCTTGTTGACGCCATTGACAGGTTCTTTCCATGGTCATGAAATGGAGGAAATAGAAAAACAATGAAATGCTTAATCGTGGGTGACAAAGCTCATTCGTCATGATTTGAGCTGAAATCTGTCTGTCACTTTTAAGCGTCTGGTTGGCAAAATGTCCATTTAAAATCATGTTTTGCCCGTCCGAAAAGATGGGTGGATGGGTCCTTAGATGAGGCCCGGGTGCATAGGCATCAGTCTCCTCGTTGAAGGAGAAGAAATTGCATGGTCATATTTTCAAACACAACCTCCAACCAGACCCACCAACTTAGTCCAGAAACGTGTTCTTCAAACCAACCTGGATGTGACCATGAAAGCAAATCTGTGGTTATGTGTCCCATTCACAAACTAACCTAAATTTTTCCTGAAAATGGCGTCTTGCAGCTGAGATGCACGTATCAGGTATTAAGTGAACAGTCACATCAGAGGCTGGCTTTTGCTTCCGATTTGAGCGGAGAAAGTGAAGGCTAATTTGATGGCAGCGTTGTTGACACGGACTGCTTCTTTTAATGCATGAGAGGAATGCAAACACAAGTATTTCAGTTGATGTTATGCAGATCCACAGGAAATCTGTCTTTGGAATTCATCTCTCTTGTGGTAACATGGCTTGGGACTTAGGCAGGAAGAATGATAAATAATTCCAGGCATGTAACCTCACTTCTGAGTCGGATTAGAGCACTGTGTTCTCTTGTTTGCATTTTGCTCTGCCCGAGTTGCTTCCAAATTTTGTTCACTAGTTGGAAAAGACATTAACTGCAAATAGTATACTGACCCCTGCAGCAGATAGATTTCTCCCAACAAGGGTTGTGACATTTCAACATTTCATAATTTAACCAACTTTAAAGAAACATTCTTCTGGGACCCCTTCACAGAAGCAAAAGCAGCCAAGAGGGCCTGACGGTCAGCGAACTCATCGAATTCCACAACGACAAGCAGCGAGACCCCCGGCTCAACGAAATCCTCTTCCCATTTTATGACCGCGAGCGCATCCTCAAGATCATCCAGACCTACGAGAAGGACCCAGAGTTTGTCAAGAGAGGTAGTTTGGGACCTTAGGATGGACCTTCTTCACAAGATGACCATTTTGGATCTCGCTCCCTGAATCCACTTTATTTATTGAACACTCTGAGAAGGACAGTACATGTAGCTTGACTTGTTATAATTGCAGATACAGCCTTTCTTTGAGAAAATATTTTTCACTCGGACAATAAAGGTGACATGACTTTTTATTCATAGCTTTTAACTACCCATCCATACACAAGGACGATATTCTACAATTCGCCCCATTGCATCATGGTGGTCCACACAAATTTTACAGCGATTTCCTCACTTTCAATTCAAGATGGCCAACTGGTGAATAAGGCCAAGGAAGTCAATTTGGCCATATTTTTTGGGAAGAGTACTGAAACTGCCTGAATCACTCGTCCAATGTTTGAATGACGTCTGGGTTTGATGGATTTTGGGAATTGCTTAATTACGGAGACGCACCATGCTAAAGTGTTAAAGATTACGTGTGTTTATTATGTAACTACATGTATACAAATGCTCGCCCATTTTCTGTGATTGCCAAAGTTGTCACTAGTTTTGAAAATTAAAACTAAAATCTGTTCAAATGTGATCAAGTCAGCGGACGAGACGATATGTTTATCTCCATGTGTCTCGTATATATTGACCTTGGATCACATCACAGAAAACAGTCAGTGATGACCTTTCTGTCATCTTGAAATAACCATGTGATGTAAGATTGTGTTCTCAGTCTGATTAAGCGAAGTCCTGTTAACCCCTGGATTGTATTCCTGCCATTTGTGTGCTCAGGAGCGTACTCATGTTATCGTGAGAAACATGCTCAAATGCGGTCTTGAAGTCTGGTCTGCAAAGTGTACTCTGTCCAGTTGTTTCTGTGTATTATTGATTAAAATAAGCATTGGGGTAGAAAAGATCAAAATGTTATTGTTGTTTGAGGTAATTGATCATCCTTTTTTGTCATCAGAGCAACTTAGTGTAGACGGCTTGTGCCGATACCTTATGTCCGACGAGAATGCGCCTGTGTTCCTGGATCGTCTAACCCTGTACCAAGACATGGACCAGCCCCTGTCCCATTACTTCATCAATTCATCCCACAACACGTACCTGACTGGCAGGCAGTTTGGTGGCAAGTCCTCGGTTGAGATGTATCGGCAAGTGCTGCTGGCCGGTTGCAGGTAGGTTGATAAAGAGTGATGTTGGGATGGGGGGACGCAAGGCAGTATGGCGGCCAGTCCTCGGTTGAGATGTATCGGCAAGTGCTGCTGCCAGTCTGCAGGTAGGTTGATAAGAATGATGTTGGGGTGGGGAGGGGTAGGCAGTTTGGCAGATTGGAAGTGTGGCTGTAAGTCTTCTTTTGAGATTAATCCACCAACATATCGTGAGTGTAGAAAAATTGGGAATATTGCTTAAGTCAAATATCAGATACAAAAAATTGTATCCATTCTTGTGAGATTTGACTTCCAGGTCAAGATTTTACCATAGCAACAGATGAGATCATCAAATCCTCTTCTCCTGGGGATGGTAAAAAGGAGAGATATAACCTACGCGTGTTACCTGGTCAACAGTTATGCGCTGCGCTTCTCTACAATCTGAGAAGATTGGAGATCTACATGTATCTTTCAAATTGCTATTCTTTATGTTATATTTCTGACCAAAAAAAAGTTGTGTAGGGACTGCACTTTGATGTATCTATCTTTTGCATTTGGATTCAGGTGTGTGGAGCTAGACTGTTGGGATGGAAGGAACGAGGACCAAGAACCAATCATAACGCACGGCCTGGCCATGTGCACAGACATCAATTTCAAGGTACTCACCGCAAACCGTTCGATCTGAAATCGCATTTAGAATCACATTTCCCTTTAATTCAAAGTAAGCTCAAGCAAAATCAATTGGTCACAATTCAGCCGAGAGATTTGTGAGGATTCTAAGGGACTCTAATGAAAGTACTGCAACCACTTCTTTTAATATCTCTGTCAACGTGGGCTTTTGTTATAGTTCTATCTCATGGCATTCGATTAACGTAAGAAATAAACCTTAAAAATTTCAATCACTATTCTTTCAAGTGCACACCGAAGAATGTTTTTAAGGGTTACTCTGTGGTGCAAAGAAGTCGTTTCTTGTCTTAAGTCCCGACTTAGAAAGTTTTGAAAGTAGTTTTGGGGTCATTCTAAGTGTTGGCTAATTAATTGCCTCATAAGCTTCAAACTTATCAACTCCAACATTTTTTTCCAACCTGGGCCATCGATTAAGTCAAGCAATACATCAGGCTGAGAATTTTACTTGAAGCCTCCTGATTTGTGCATGAACCGTACAGTATGTCACTGTTTTTAAAGGCTGTCAGATCTGAAAATATAATAGACTGAGCACCAAGCAAATCCAATTTCCTGGATTTCCAATATTTCCCGCTTCAGTCCTGTTCAGTTTAACGCCAAGCACACTCCCATTTGCACTTGCATCTTATTTAATCACCACCTCCACAGGATGTAATTATGGCCATTCGTGACACGGCCTTTGTGACATCGGAATTTCCAGTGATTCTCTCCTTTGAGAACCACTGCACTAAGTTCCAGCAGTACAAGCTGGCTAAGTACTGCGAGGAGTACCTCGGGGAATACCTGCTGCAGGAGCCACTCCCAGATCATCCGGTAAGCCGGTAGCCTTGAAGGCTACTCATTTGGCCTTTCAAATGTCACACCCAATGCATGAAGCCCCTGAGACTGAAGGCCACTCATTTGGCATGAAGGCCCTGAGGTTGAAGGCCACTCATTTGGCCTTTCAAATGTCACATCCTATGCATGAAGCCCCTGAGACTGAAGGCCACTCATTTGGCATGAAGCCCCTGAGACTGAAGGCCACTCATTTGGCATGAAGGCCCTGAGGTTGAAGGCCACTCATTTGGCCTTTCAAATGTCACATCCTATGCATGAAGCCCCTGAGACTGAAGGCTGATCATTTGGCATGAAGGCCCTGAGGTGGAAGGCCACTCATTTGGCTTTTCAAATGTCACATCCTATGCAAGAAGCCCCTGAGACTGAAGGCCACTTATTTGGCCTTTGAATGTCACTGCACCCTATGCATGAAGTCCTTGAGATTTGAAGGCCACTTATTTAGCTTTTAGAGCCTTATGCCTTCATGTTATGGCGTTGGGACCGAAGGCCACTCATTTGGCATTTAAAACTCCAATGTACACTCAAAGGTCCTGAGACTTAAGGCCACTTACTTCGCTTTTAGATCCCTAAATCTTCATGTGAAGGCCTTTGGACTGAAGTCTACATACTGTATTTGGCCTCTGGAGCCCCTGCACCTTTAATAAGCCTTGGTACTGAAGACTGCTCCTTTGGAATGTAGAACCCAAAGCTAAACATGAAGGCCATAGCATTGACCACTGACCGGTATTGTGGTCAACAGGAAAGTTTGGCCAACTGGAGTAAAACTTGTCTCTAGTTATTCACTTTTTCTTTTATTCAAAAGATTCTTCCATTGTATCTCCATTTTTATGGAATTACACTCAATGAAACCACGGGTCTTATTTTGTAAAGCACATATCGATTCCTGTCCTTGTGTGTCGCAGATTTTCCTGTGTTCAACCCCTTTTTTCCTCCCAGTGAGGCTGGTTTTTGTAGCTCAGATATATACCAAATGAGTGTAAATCTGTTCCAGGTACTTATTCACGCAGTTTAAAAAAATCTGTTCTGAGCCACTTTGCATAAAATGGTAGGAATATTTCTATTCGCCCAGGTTGGTATGACAATCCATTGCAGGTTGCGCCCCCTGCTAATGCTGGTACCCTTTTTACACTCGGGGGTAGAGAGAGGCAAGTAAGGACAGAGTGACTTGCCCGAGGTCACAACTTAGGGCCGGAAGGTGGACATGAACCACTGACGTTTTCATCACAAGGCACAGACCTTAACCACAAGGTGATATGCACCCAATTCACGTTCGCCTCAACAGACTCTCCTGTTGCAAATCTGCACAAAGAAATTTGCGACCTCAAGACTTCACCTATCTTCTCACAGAAAGACTCCACTGATATTTGGAAAAAGTATTGTTTGCCTTATGCTTAAAATTCCCTTTTTTTCCCTCGACCAGTTGGAGGCTGGTACCCCTCTTCCTTCACCGAACAAGCTCAAGAGGAAAATTCTCATCAAAAACAAGAGACTCAAACCAGAAGTTGAGAAGAGTGAGTATTCTGTGAAACTCGTGACTTCCAGGAGGGAATGATCGAGGAACACACTCTGACATCATTTTGAAGGACTGGCACTAGTAGTACGCCACAGAGTATGGTTCCAGCTGTTGTCATCAATGCGCATTTCGGATGTAACCTTGTTCCCAAACCTGCTTGGAGTTGGGCTGTACTTGAATCCATCACAGGTCTCTACAAGGCCCCTTGAATCATCACAAGTTGCCCAGTTGCAAGCCAAGTCAAATGCTATGCAAATGCTGTGAAGAAGGCTTTCCATTTTCATTTCTTTGATTGGGCTTCCGATGGGACCCGACTACAGCCTTGCTTTTAGCAAATGACAAACTGTGATTTGCCCTGTGTGAGGTTGGCATCTGAAAGTGAATTTCAGTACCCTTTTTGAAAACACTTGCTGGATGTTGAATGCATTTACTAGAAATCACTGTTGGTGCATAAAAGTTGTTCGCATCATGCAAATTGAACAAAATCAGTTTTTCTGTACTGGGATGAGGAAAATATTGAAGTGACTGGCCGTCTTTGCTCATATAGTTAGCATTGTAATTTGGCTGCCAAGTTGTCAGGCACAGCTGGCCGCCAATTGGAAAGATTCACACTGCAGTGCGCCAGGAAGAGGTTACCAGGGAAAACCATTGTTTGCAGGATATTGTTTGGGAAAGCTAACACCTGTGTATCAAATAGCACTTCTCTTGCTGATCTGTGTGAGTTAAATTTGTGACCTGTTCCAAGAAAATGAGTCATCAGTCACCAGAGCCACTTTTGACCAGTAGGCTCTTGAAAAAATCTTGTACCATGGAAATCAGTAGGAACAGTCGCCTTTGTCCATTTTCACCAGGATGCCAAACTGAGCGAGACATTAAAACAAAACTAAGCTTGCTCTTTCTCAGTAAACTTGTACAAAATTACCGAAACTTTGGCCTTATGAATCGCTTCCACAGAGCAGGCCTCAAATTCTTGAAGATGGAATTTTATCGTGTTTATGTATAAGAGAAACTTACTTTTCAAGCTCCAGCATTTGTGAGTGATGCTGCCACTGGTCAAGGCAAATCTACATTAAACTGAATGGCCTTTGTATTTATGTGCACCTGCAGGACAACTGGAGCAGCTCCGACTAAAACCGGGCACCATCATGAACTTAGAAGATGAAGAAGACGAGGAACCAGAATCAGGTAGGTTACCCTGGCAACCTATTAGTTGAATAAATGTCAACAGAAGTTCAACTATTCACACAAGACTTTGAAATGGTATAAATGCCATTCCTGGTGAAAAAAAAAAACAAAGTTAGTGTCACATTCGTTGGTGTCCTTGTTTGTGTTTATCTGGTGTTACTATTTTCTTAACACTTTGTTTTATTCTGTTCAGGACACAAGGTTGAATTTTTTTGATGAATGAATTATTCTCTGGAAAGTGTTTTGTTTCAGTTACATTTACACGTAGCGTCTTGGGGAAAATTAAATGTGTCCAAATCGTTCACAGTTTTTTTGTTACTTCATTGAAGAAAAAAATGGTTTTGAAGTTACGTGCATGTGCTCGTTGTTTGGTTCCGTGACCAGTGTGCACCGTGCAACATGTCTATGTAACCCTATGTTTTTGTTCTGTTCAAATTTTTTGGGTTTAATTTCATTTTTTTTGTATGCCCAGTTTACTTTTTTCCTTGATATGGAAATTTATTTGAAAGTCGTAATGCAGAATTTGGAATCTGAATCTTTGAAACATTTGGGTTATCTGTCAGGGTGCCGGAGATTTTTCTGTCACAGAGGGTTACTCGATTTATGACCTTGTACTGCTCGTGAAAAGTGATTACTTTGGGACTGCAACGGAACAGAGATGTAGTTGGGACCTGTTTCTTAGACCTCACTGGAATCCTCAAACAGTGGACATCAGACATGTATTTTCTCTTTGTTGTGGAAGATTCAAAGCAAACATTCTGTGGAGAAGCCTGGATTATTTCAGACATCTCAAGGGACTTGCCCAGACCCTAAAGTTGAATCAGTATAGGCGAATTCAGTGAGGTTTCACTGTATGCTCTCAATGGGCCCTTCAACAGAGCCGTAGCTCTGTACAACAATCATCCAAAGGCTGATTACCACTGGCAGGAGCCACTCTTCATGACCAGGGACAGCGTTACCATGGTCACCGAATTTATTTATTTTTTTCATTACATGATAATTACCTGTATCCTCGCCATTGAATTTATTTCATCTCAGAAAATTCAAGTTACTGATTAATTTAAAAAATGAGGATTTTACGAGGTCTTGGAAATTCCTTATCCACATCTCTGCTGATGTTTGATTTAGAGGGGTGGGATGTTTTCTGCGTCCGCTCCAAGGTTTAAGCAGAGTAACAATTTTAAGGGAAAAGAGGCAAGAGAAACCAGTCAGGCAGTGCAATATATTCCACATTGCTGTTGTTTGTGTATGTGTTTGATATTTACTGATCAGTATATCCCAGGAGTAAAATAGTGCCATATCCATTGCCAGCAGTGAAATATATTCCACATTGCTGTTGTTTGTGTATGTATTCGATATTTACTGATCAGTATATCCCAGGAGTAAAATAGTGCCATATCCATTGCCAGCAGTGAAATATTTCTTGGAGTTGGAAGGTAAAAAAAAGCTCAAAATTTTGTGTTAAAAGAAGATAGTAGACTTTTTTAAAGAAGGGCGAGAGCAACCAAAAACAAAGCTAAATGCATTTGATGCTCTTTGAAAAGTTGCTAAACCATTCTGCCGCTAAGGCTGATAAGGGGCACCATTCATCATGCATATTTCATGCATTGAGACTGATGATTTTCCTCCCTAAATATTACTATTCGTGTAGAGTATTTGGAAAAGTTTCCAATGCACAACCGCATTTCCGTATTTATGCATGAGTGTAGCCCCCCTCCAAATCCTCTGACTTAGAGACAATATATTGTATCTTCTAGGTTTAAGAATGCACTACATGTATTTCAAAGATCCATCCTCACATTTTATTTTTAACATTTGGATCGATGGTACCAGCAAAGTGCACGAATTTTTTTGTTGGTCATATTGACAAATGTCTGATGTTATTATTTATTCATTCTCATCATGGTAATGCTGGAAAGTCAGTCATAGTTCTCTATTATTAAGTAGCTCTCATTACAAACAATACTGTGCTTGTTTCCAGAAGGTTTTGAAATGTACTTAGCGTCAAGTTTGTAATGATTTTGTTACCAGTCAAAACCCTGGTTGATTGGAATAAAAATTAAAAGCAGGAACTTGTTTTTAAATTTAACATCACAAGTGTGCTGCTTTAATTCATTCAAGCAGGGGGTTTGTTGAAAAAACACCTTTGAAATTTTGAGTCTAGAGCAGGCATAGCATGAATTTATCAGGGGTGTACAGGTGTTCACTTATGGATTGCTTAAAGATCTTTACGTTTGACTCGATGTTTGCAGGGGAGACAGATAAAGATTTTGTCCATTTTTAGTTTGGTAACTGTACTTTCATCATCATGTCATGTAGCTTACTGTTGATTTGTTGCATAAGTCATAACACACCAATTGCTCCATCTTCCCCTGCCTTTCTGCTTCCTTCCTCGTATCATTCCCTTCGATCCTTTCATTTGTATAGATGCTAACCCGGGTAGAATTGCTGGTCTAACAAACATCGCCGTTGTTTATCCTTTCCTGATCACTTGCATACATGTCGGTATATTCTTGGAGAGAGTGAAAGCTTCTCCTGTGGTTTTAATGATGCAACTCTCTTTATGCAACGTCTTGGGGCCCAACTGTCCGATTTGTCTTTTTTTTGGGTTTTGTTTTCTTCTGTTTGTTATTTCCGAGTTCTTTTCTTTTCTGGTGTCCCTTTGTGTGTTTTTTTTACGTATTTTTTTATTTATTTTATTATCAATCAATTTTTTTTTTTTGCCTTTTTTGAATAAAATCTTAACCACTGTTGTTTATGCACTTACAATAGACAGCGATTCGGAGGATGATGTCCAACCACCATCTGCTAGTGCAGCCAACAAACGCACGCGCAGACAATCCAAGCAATCCGGTACTGAACGTGTATATATATTTTTCTCTCCCACAAAAAAAGATAAAGAAAACAAGACTGAAACAGAACAAACATTTTGTGCATTATGTTTGTTTTTTTTCCTTTGATGTCCCTTGATATGCCATCATTAGTATTACTCATCTGGTGAACTAGTTTTGGCTTGTAAAGCATTCACTTCATTGTAGATGCATGGAGGCAAGTCGTCAAGCGTTCAGGTTCCGCACAGGAGCTCTTTTGAGTGGGTTGATCTTTTCTACCCGTCCGCAATTTTTTCCCTTTCTTTTTTTTTGGAATATCTGTAATCTGTCAATGGTTGGTATCATGTGCTCCTAACGGATGCAGACTGTTAACTCACGTGATTCCGAGAGACTTCTGAAACAAGTTTCAGAGAAACCACTGTTAAAAATGAAGAAAGTGACAAAATTATCAAAAGAGGAAAACACGCTAACAAAACAAGGCAGTGATACAAAATTTGAAACTGGTTTGTGAAAACTTAAAGCTAGTGTTCAGTCCTTGATAGATTGTCAAAAATGTGCAACTCTTGTAGTGGAAGTAGTCATTATTTTCTGTGATACTTGTTTGTACTTTGTACAGCTGTACGCCTGCTTTATAGCTAACTGAAAAGGACAGAAATTAAGAACGAACGAAGTGCTGTTTGACAGCTGGTAGAAAAGGCTCCTGTCTTGTGTACATTGTGCTCAAATTGGTGCTTTTGTACGTGGCGGCCGTTTCATGTCACAGTCAGTGCATCCTGCGGCTGCTTCGTGTCTGAATATGATGGAGCCCAGTGCTCCGAATCTTTTCTGTTTTTAGTTCTGCTTCTCGATGTTCTCTCTTCTGTAACTGTCACCACTCATCTTCTCCTCCTTCTGTGCCCCATCTGGAATCTCACGGTCAAAGAATTACCACTTTAACTGTCAGCAGTTACAATTACTATAAAATTCAGGAAACTGTGTTGGAGGCTTGGAGCCCGGTTATCCAGTAGACTGATCCATCAGCCTCGTCCCATTGTGTTCTGACCAATCAAAGCTGTGATTTAAGTCCAACAATTGTGCACGTACATATGGAGAAGGACCAGTGTTAAAAGCCCGTGTCATAGCGGGTGGGGCTTACTGGATCGATCTGTGGGTACAGTAGGACATTGTACCTAGGGCCTGCAAAACAGTCAAGGCCTACAGAACATCCTAGGAATTAAAAAAAAAACCCACATGGTCACACATGTCCTCTGTGACTGTGAGGAAAAGTGTTGGATTTTTACGAGTCCTGTGACATCAAGTGGTTTAAATCATCTGTATGCGGATACCATCATTCATTAGTTGCATTTCATTTTTAACACAGGCAACTGTTTCCAATATGAAACAATTTTTGCCTGCAAATGATACCAGAAATCTCGTTATTGACATGACGATTAGCTTCACGTACAAATCTCTACAAAATTTGTAAGAAAAGTTTGTGGTTCTGAAGCCCACCCTGCCAACAGGCTTTAACAGGTACCAATTCGGCCTGGCTTCGCCCAGGAAAGCTTAGCCTCAACCTACAGGCCTGGTACCTACAGGCAAAGCAGGGCCCATGGAACATTTATTCTGGCCCTCCATGTAATTCCTAACAACGACCTTCTTGTGCTACCACCTGATATCCGCAGTTGGGTTTTAAATGCAAACGGTCACGGTGAGGAATATTTTTCTAGGGCCAGGGCACCAGGCTTTGACTAGGTGTAGCCACATTGACCAAAGCTGTGTCCAAAATCAGCTGTGGCTAAGATCAGCACCATTTCTGAGGGAAGTGGTGGGAACCACTAGCCAGTGGCTTTCCATACACCTAAGTGCCATTTCCATTGGCAGCCATAATATTCAGATGCATCCCAACAAGCTCAATTTATTGTCCGAGTAGGCAGGAAACCCATGGATGTCATTGGCAGGTAGGGTCCAACCTGGTCAATGTTATCCAGTAGGCCCAACTTCAGAAAACAGCTTCTAGATTTTTGCTCTCCTCTTTTCTCCTCACATTGAAAGTTTTTAAAAGTCTTATAAACATTTCCAGAAATGGCCCATATCACTCTTATTCTGTGTCCTGTCCTCATTCAGACAATGTCAGTTGAGCCCCAGCCCCATAATGAAAGCTCTCCTTCTATCTTGGACAAGTTCACTCTTTTCCTAATCTTTTTGAATCTTCAAACTCATTCTCCTTCATCATCCCACTCCCCTTAACATTTGTGTTGCCTTATATACTCATTTTCAGCATTTACTCTTGGGCCCGTTGGTTAAAAAATATTTCTCTTCAGACAAAATAATCTAATTACACTTGTCACGGTATCCTGTCTTAGAAGGTGTTGTGTACTAACTTTTAATCCATTTCATTTACAGAGCATCTTAGCTGTGAATACGGTTGAAAATGTTCTAGAAAATGTCAAAGTTCAAAATGCATCCTTGCCTTTTTTATTTTACTATTTTTCCCTATTTCTATTCCTTACCTATGGAAGATATTGGTACTGTTTTATTAGTGAAGTTGGATTTTTCAATGGTAGCGGCTTGTTGGTGTTCCATACTGCATCATTAAATGTTATTCACTCGGTTTTGTCTTAAGACCTATTTAAACGTCAAATTAAAGAGAATTTTCAGCTTGGAGCTATATATTATCATCAGATATTTACTTGCTGGCAACCGAGCTATTTCCTTGTTCAGAAAATAAAAACAACCAAAATTAAAGAAAAAAATAAAAAAAGATCTCATACTTTTCCCACAGTCCTCCTAAGTTGAACTACAAACCCACCTGGTCTCAATCATTTGTGGTAAAATCAAAAATTCCTTTTTTTGGAAAAATTTCTATAAACTGTTAATTGACCCCAGATTATGCCATGGTCTGTATCAGCCATGTAGAGTTTGTTCAGACACTTCTCAGTCCCGAAGATCTGGTATTCACTACTCTGGATCACTGTTTTTTTTTATTCACTGATTTGTTTAGACACACAGGATAACGAGGAAGGTGCGTAAATATTGGCAAATGTCCAAGTCCCTCTGTCTTCTCCCTTTTCCCCCTGAATTGTATCTCTTTCCCCCTCTATCTTTCTCCACCCCTCCCTCCCCCCACTTTGCACCATTCTTGTCATTACCAGGTGAAAGGCAACGTACCTGGGACCTAGTCTGCCTACGTGTTTCTCTGGGCTTAGTTTAGACGAGCACCAACACAAAAAAAACAACTTTGTTCCCATGGTAACAGATCCCATCATGTATTTTGGCATCTCTCACCAATGAGTCGTGATACAATAAAAAGAAGTTGAGTAGGTGCAGTGAAATTCTATGTGTTGGTAATGAAGGAGTGCATGCAGAGCACGTCAGCCATGAGTTGCAATCATTGGGCTCTCAGCAATATTTATCTAGAGCACAGCATCTAGGGCACCCCAATAGCAAAGTGAGTGTGGTTTTAGTGGAGCAGGGCATGCTGGCCAAGGAGACAGCACACAGTGTAACCTCCACAACCAGCGTCTGATTGAGTTCCGCATTGAAACCCAAATATTCATCGCAAGCCTCTTGTTGTTGGGTTTGTTCATCCATCCCCCTCCGAGGTGCACCAGCTTGAAGTAAAGCTGTGGGATGCTGAGAAAGCCAGTGACCCGTGCACGTATAAACATCTGAACTGTTAACTAAACGTGACATTTATACATTGTATACACTGGGTTTCTGTGACCAAAACAGGTCGTGTCGCACAGTTTTAATGCTGCTTAAAAATGAGCATGAACGTCCTTTGGCTTTGAATCAGGCATGTTCTCGTAATTAACATTCTCTGTACAGGCAGTCGTTTGCACACAGTTTGCAAGGAGATGTTGCGTCCATTAAAGTTAACGTTAAGATTTCTGTGCCCTTGCATAAGTGGATAATGTTGATAGCACCTACAAAGACTGTGTGGCCAGTGCAGGGGGATGGAGGCGTGAACAAAACTTTCAAATGAGGCCAGCCTTGAACCAAGACTAGAATTAGCCTCACACAGGTTCAAAGATACGCACCTTTAACAGTGGGTTTGTGGGTTTCCACCCTACACTTCATTTTTATTTTGATGTTGTCAACTTGTGGGAAAGAGTCAAAGGTCATGCCATTGGGAGCAAGGTTGATACACAGTGGCTTTAGTAAGCAAGTAGAAAACACGGCAGTGGGCATTCGCAAACAGAAACAAGTTTTTAAACATCGTAATGTTTGTTTCTTGGTCATCGGTTTCTAAGCTGCTGTACAACTTGCCATTTTTCAGAATTGCCTCGGTGTGACTGTCACTATCTTTTTTTCTAAGAGTTAAAGTGGAAGATGGTTTTTTGAGTTTGTGCATTTTTGGTTTTGCATTTGGTTTCGTTTTTCACATTTCTTTTATTTGAATTTATTATTTTAGTTTTGTTCTGTGGGTTGTGTTTCAAATTTTGATTTGATTCAAGTTTGACTGTTTTGTTGTATTTTGATGAGTAGTTTTTTCCTGGTTTATTCTTCTGAATCACCTGTATTTCTTTATTAGTAAAGACTTTTTAAGCAAAATGTCAAAATGGTAGAATTTCCTAATAATGTCTGTATTTTGGCATTTTCTAGGCAAGAAAGGTGATGATAATAATAATGAAGGTGGGTGTGTGTGACAAAGATTGGGTTTGGATAGGCCACTAACACCACTTCTCATGATCACTCAGTATCACATGTGTCAGGTGCGGTTACCAGACCAAAGGAAAAACTGAAAAAGCACCCCCTAAAAAACAACTGAATGAATAGGGAAAAAATTGTACTTTGCTTGAAAATCATTTTGTGAGAAATAGTTTTCTTGAGATTATTTATACGAGTGACATTTTGAAGAAGTTGTCCTCAAACGCCACAAATTGTGTGTCTAGAACCGCACTTGTTGTGTGCCAAAACCAAGACATCATCTGCTGATAATTGATTCAGATGCTGCCTTTCATGAAAAGTCTTCTGTTTTCCTTCTCAGCTTCTTATCCAGCCCATTAAAATTTAAATGAACTTAAAAAAATAAAATGTGACAAACCACTCTTTATAACTGGTAGCTACCAATATTTCAGAAATGTGGAGATTTTCCATCTCCACATTTCTGTTGTTGGAAATACATCAGAAAAATCTGAATGGATACTAATGTATTTGTTTTTTTTTAGTCAAAGATAAATTCTTTGTCAGGTAGCCTCACATGAATCTGCTTAAAACCAAATACTCATTGCCAGACATCTAACATCTCGATTTCATACTCATTAATATATCGCTAATGTTCACTTATCTTAAGAATATAATCCACAAATTTCAGTGTCCCCCAAAATCCCTTTCTGCAATCTGCGCTTCGTGTTTGTCGTGTTAACATTCATATAACAAAGTGGATTTTGTTTGGCGACAGTGTCAAAGTTCTTGCCAGTGAAGGTAACAACTTTCAAGAGGACTCCGTAATTCTCCAATGGTCTTGATTATCCAATTCAAGTTGCCCTATTCAACGATCTGTACTTTCCAACAACATAAAAGTCTTCTGTGTCTTCACAGATTTTTTGAAACAGAGTTTTAGGAAACACAATTGCACTTGCCATTGATTGCTCATTATATCAGCTCTTTTGATGCACAGTTTGGGAGGAAAGTCGCTTAACATACTCCCAGCTACATGTAAGTTTTGGCAGCCTGATGAACCAGGGTGATTTGTCATCCCAATTCCCCCATTGCCTTCATTTTTCCACACCTTGCTTCTAAACGCAAAATACACCAATCAAGATTGTTGACCCAAACTTGTGGGAATCTTTTGTTACTTGCATGTTCAGAAAACTCAGAGGAAACGCCATCGGAAGGTAAACCCCTATGATTTGTACTTTTTTTTTTTGAGTTTGCTTTTCTTTTTGGTTTTTAGTCATTCGTTTTCTTTCTTGTCTTCCTTTAACCCATGGTGAAAGAGTTCCCATTTTGAGGTATGGTTGGTAGATTTGAAAGACTGCACTTAAACATTTGTAAAAACCGAAACGGTGTTTGTTTCTTCTTGTAATTTTCCACATGTCCTGCCTACTTTCTTTTTTTAAAATTAAACTAATGTCTTATGTGTTATCTATCATCCCTTGAATTATTAAGTCACAGCAGTAACAGTTCACGGTCATGCATATTCATGAAAAGCTGTTTACATTTAAATTTTCTAGCTGGATATTTGCTGATATGTGATTGGCCAGATTGTGACATGGGTACCTTCCTCACTGCAATTACATATTCATGGAAATCAAATTTTGTTGAACCGACTGACATTTGCTAAGGTTTTGGTCGGCAGGGACAAATATTGAGAACTTTGATTTATTTTATATTCTGATATTATCCTTCTGCATTTTAATTTGTACTGTAGTTTGCAAAGTCCATCTGTCATTTCTGAACTTGGGGTCTGATTAGGCCAAAGTAACAAATGCATCCACAGGGTGGCCTCAGAATATTGTGGTGGGTTGAAATCTCATCAGTGTGAAAGGTTTACAGTTGCACAGTGAAAGATGTCGCTTGACAAAGTAATATTAAAGATGATGGTTCTCGGAGGAGGAAGTGCATATACCGTCAGTACTTTATGAGAAAGAAGTTTTTCCTCAAGATAAGAATCTTAAAGGTGTGAAGAGCTCTATTGGCCTTAACTCCTAGTCTCCTAAGGATGACCGTGGCATACATTTACTTATAAAAATGTCAAGTGTTTTCGCTGTAGGTCTTCCGAGAACCATCATCTTATCCCTTCCTTTCAAAGCAAGATTGTTCCGTGGCACATGCAGAGCTTCAGGTCTCACCAGCCCAAAGTGAACAGCAACCTGCTTTGATGATGCTAATGTGCACCGTTACTGTAGCTGAACTTTGCTGAACTGGGGACCTAATGTGTGCTGGCTTTTTCGCAGTTCTTTATGTCTGAATGCGCACAAGTAATGCTTCTCGGCAGGTTTCCATGGCAACTGACTATCCATGCAGTGGTGAAACTAGGTCTAGGGTCCTGGAGGGCAAACTGGGGAGTTCATCTGAAAAGAAGGTCTGAAAATTGGGCCGCCTTGAAAACCTAAAAAAGGGAGGTGTATATTTTTACCTGTAATGTATTGTGAAATTCTTTAGTTTTCACTTGAAACAAATCGTCCCCCATGCCCTCTGGGTATACCACTGTTGTGTGTTAAAAATGTGAACAAACAAGGTTTGGTAATATATGCAAATTTTTGAGAAGCACTGATCATTTTAACCATGCTCAACAGCAACTAAAGCAGTGATACTCATATTTTCAACTCATTTCACTAAATTTCCAGTTTTTGGCTAACTTTGAAAGGAGACTTTGTCAAAGAATTTTTGAGTTTAATGAAGAACAAATTTGCAAAGGATAATAGCTCTCTTGATCTGTCTGAGATTTTGACACATGCCAAAATATGTCCCATACTCTGTAAATAATGATGCTGGTTCTCTGTATAGGTACTGGTCATTTCATGATGATTGCATTCACGATGAAGTCAACATTCTCATATCTTTGCCTGCCCTCATGTAAAAATTCTTAGTATTTGTTTTTAGGTTTTGTTGGAAATTGAAGATTCACCCAATCTAAAGTATTTACCTACATGCCACTCCATGGCAATGAAAAACCATAAATCTAAACGTTCTTGGCATGTTTCATTGGGGACAAGGGTTGGCATGATTGTTCCAGCATGTGTTTTGGCATTTCAGAATTCTTCTGAAATCTAAAGACAAGGAAAACCTTTTCATTGTTACCTTTTGCATTGTGACTTTCTTTTTAATCACTATCTAATTTAAAAAAAAAAGCAAGTTCTTTATCAAACATGTTTCATTTTCAAGGCTCCATTTGTAATTTCCTTCGACTCTAATTCAAGGTCAAGGAGATTTTGTTCATACATGTATATTTGTCATTTTCAGCATAACATACGACTGTTTCCCTTTCAATATACAAGTACATGTGTTATTTTCCCACTTCTACAGTCTATATTTCTCAGTTTGCCTTATTTGACCCTATTTTTTTGTACATAATTTTTCCAGAGACCGCAGAAGACAAAGAAAAGACAGGTGGGCAAATTCAATTTCTCGGGTGCTCTTTACACTTTCCAGCTACCATTTCATTTCTGTTCATTTTATGACTTGGATTCAACAGCCATGTGGTGCTGGGTCCCCCACCCCCAAACCTCACCCCACACCCCACACCCCCACACCCAGCCACCCATCACTTCTCTCGCCTCTCTCTCAAATCTCTCTCACTCTGGTTTTTTTTTCTTATCAATCACGAGTGGCAATTAACACATGCTGCTTTTGAACCATACTATTGAAGGAAGAGTAGATGCCCAGCCATCTGAAGTATAGCTGGCCCAGTATTGTTACAATTCAGGCTTGGTTTAAAGGTGGTGATGGTGTTAAATACCTTGTTAAGTTATTCCATCTGGCATCCTGTCATTGTGGAGAAAATGGTGAAAGGCAGTCATTTCCAGAAGACGTGTGAAGTGACTCACTTTCTTTTGGAAGGCTCCAGAATTGTGGGAGACATTTCCCACATGTTCCCAACACCTGAAGCGCACAAGCGTTTTTGGCAAGCTGTTATCACACAATTGGTCAAAAGGACATTTAAGACATTTGTACAACCTGGGTCGTAATTTGTAGTGGGTTTCAAAACAGGACGCAGCAACTTTTGAATCAGTTACAATTGATCCAATATTATGCAGTTTCCTTAAATGTATAGTATTTATAGAGCTAAAATTTCAACATGTCAATTACTAAGCACCTACAGTTGTGCTCAAAGGTATTCATACCCTTTGGAAAATAATATACTTCTCTAAATTCTTCTTTTTTGAAAGCTTTTATGTTGGTACTTCCACTGTGTCTTTTGTCTATTTGTTGCAATACACAAACCCACATGAATATTGGCTAAACTTCATTTGCATAATAATAGATATGGCCCGGTTTCTTTCTTGCTCCTGTTCAAAAATATTCATGCCCCAGGTTTACATAGTCCATTGTCTTTTCTTAATAGTCAATAGTGTAGCCTTTGATCTTGATGACTACCTCAAGACAGTTCCTATAAGTGTCCACAAGCTTTCTGCATGTCTGGCCATCATTCCGGTCTTCGGCTCCCTTTACAGATTTAGCCCATAGGTCAGGACTTTGGCTTGGCCATTCCAGTACATGGATACCACTGAACCACTGCTTTACTACCTTGGTGGTGTGCTTGGAGTCATTGTCCTGCTGGTACGTCCAATCAGGTCCAAACTGGAATTTCTCAGCAGACGCTTTCACTTTGTCATCCAGGATCATGAAATGATCCTCCTTTATCACGATGCCCTGTATCTTAATGAGGTTCCCGGTGCCACTGACAGAGAAGCAACAGACAAGCACACCACCAAAGTAGTAAAGCAGTGGTTCAAGGACAGTGGTATCCATGTACTGGAATGGCCAAGCCAAAGTCCTGACCTATAGGCTAAATCTGTGGAGGGAGCCGAAGACTGGAGTGATGACCAGGAGACCATCCAACCTGACCCAGCTGGAGGCTTTGGCCATGGAAGAGTGGACCAACATCTCACAGGAGACATACAGAAAGCTTGTGGACACCTATAGGAACCGTCTTGAGGTAGTCATCAAGAACAAAGGCTACACTATTGACTATTAAGAAAAGACAATGGACTATGTAAACCTGGGGGGGTGAATATTTTTGAACAGGAGCAAAAACGAAACCTGGGCCGTATCTATTATTATGCAAATGAAGTTTACCCAACACACGTGTGGGTTTGTGTATTGCTACAGATAGACAAAAGATATAGTGGAAGTACCAACATAAAAGCTTTTACAAATGAAGAATTTAGAAAAGTATATTATTTTCCAAAGGGTATGAATACTTTTGAGCACAACTGTATCTCAGGATTTCGAGCAACTTCCTCCCTTCAAACAGCCACAAGTGGCAATGGTCACTGCAGGTGAATTTAGGGGGTTGAGAAAGGGATAGGGGGTCATGTGAGGGGATGTCAACTCTGAAGCAACATGCTTTAGGCGACGAAAAAGGATTTGTGTCAAGGTTTTGAAGCAGTGGTGAATTAGATCTTGTGCCTGTACAAAAACAGAATGCTTCTGAGTATTTTTTGTGACCTGCAGTGTTGATTGCTGTTTACTGTTTTAAGTTTTCCGATCGAGACACAAGCTTAAGTCAGGGACTGTATACATGTATTTCAGTTGTAAATGTACTCTTGAAGATTCTCCCTGTATTCCACTCCCAACCCCATGACAAAACCAGTTTCATGGTACATTTTTTTACTCTCAGCAACCAAGTCATGCTACATTCCGATCTTTAATCTCATTTCCCTGAAGTGTGAGCGTTTCCGTGGTTATCTAGCGTTTGGCGATTGGAAGCAATTCATGTGGGGTTTCTTTGCTCTCTAGTCAGGGTACCATGAAATATCAGGAACTGTAGTTGATGGTACCAATCGACCGGTGTGCTGGGGTTTTTTTCTCTTCAAAGTATGATCAATATAAATGTGACATTAGTCAGATTAACATGAGGGATGTTCTGGAGCCTCCCTATTGGAGCCTCATAAGCTTTTTAAATATCAGGAGTCTTACTGACATCAGTCCAAATCAACTGGCTGTGGCTAAAAATAACATGCATCTATGGGAAATGGATACAGCCACTAGGCACCGGCTTCCATAAGTTGTTGTCTCCAGCTACAGCCACTAACTTTTCACTGCTTTGTGTCGTGCAGCTTTCCCTTGCCATTAGTTTTGATACAGGGCCAGCACTGCTGCGTTTTGGATCACATGACCGCACTTGAGGGTCATACCGTGGCAAGGTCCAAGCCATTGTGAGCTTTTTCATGATAGCATTTATCAGGCACTTTCTATCCATGTACTTTCAGAGTTATTGAGGGCCATTTTTGCTCTTCCGTGATTCACACCTTGCCTTTACGTAACATGGGCTGCTGTGTGTACACAAATCTTCATCTGACATGACTCATGTTTTCAATGTGGATGGATGGAACTAAGGGGTGGAGCCTAATGTTTGAAGAGGACATGTATTTATTACAGGTCTGCTTCGCTTATCATCCTGAAAGTTCCCTCTTTCCATTCATTTCACACACGATTCCAGAAATTTGCATTTGTCTTTCTGAAAATGCGAGTTCATGATCCTGATCGATCAATCCATAGCAACAGACCTTGCTACAGTTAAGCATAGAGCCATGGACCAAGGGGCCACCTCACACTGCATGTGTTCATGCGCTGTTTTAAGAATAAGTAATGTGTTCCTTTCACAAAGGGATTCAAAGCTGTGCAGCCCACCATAATTTTAAAATAGCATGTATGCATCAAGTTTCTTGGAGGATAGATTTTTCTTATCCCACTTGCATTTGTGGAACTTGGAATAATGTGCATCTGTCTTCCTCATACCGTGCTGCCACGAGGCTTCAATGTTGACAGGCTCTGTGCTGTTTTTATATGTTATTCTGCGTTCCACAAATGCGGATAGGATAGTGCATCATATGCTTCTCAGGTATCCAGATTCCAAGGCTTGCCTCATTCAAACAACTGGGTCACAACCCAGTTTTGTTCCGACTTGAAACAAACACTGCCCAGCGGGATTATAGATTATTTTACACCAGTGCGATTTATCTATTTCATTTTTCCTTTGGTAACTTATTAAGAATCAGACTATATCCATGGCCTGCACCATCACCATATGGTTTTACCATTCAAAGTCAGTTGGCTTTTTTGGGGGGATTGATTGCCAACTAGAGTTTCCGCTCAACTTACAATCAGTCTTGTCAATTGATGGTGCTGTCGAGCTTTACCAGCAAAAAAACCTGTCTATGCAAGTGATTTATTTGTCTGAGCTTATCTTTGCTGGCTGGCTGTTGAAGGTCTGTCCTTGGATTCTCTGCAAACGGTGTGGGTCAAGGTTGGGAACTTCAGCTGGGGCGCGGCATTCCCAGAAATGTCAGTGTTTGCACGACACATGAATGAGAGATGTAAAATTCAAGACACTTGTTACTTCTTGTTTACCAAAAATGGGTTGGGGGCTTGTAACCTACAATCCTGGACAAAATATTGTTGGGACACGTGTTGATAGTCCTACCGTCTCCAGGTCCCTGACTCCCTCCCCCCCCGGTCACTGACTCCCCCCGGTCAATGCTGTCATCTCCAGCTGGAGTGCAGACTGCTCATTGAGACCCAACATTGAGAGGGAGCCCAGGTGTGGGAGTGGGGGCCAAGGAGATTTGGCCAGGATCGTAGTTGTATGTGAACCTTTTGACGTTGTTAGCTCGTTAATATCATCTTGTTTCCCCCAAATCCAGAAGAGTTTGTGGTATACCACTTCTACACATTGAATGCTCTGCACCTTCATGAAGCTCTCTTTTCATTCATTATGTATCCGACAGTGATGAATGTCAGATGAAGGCAAACACATTTATATTCATTGTGTAGCGTCCCAGTGGATATAATTTGGATCACTCTTCTTCCACTCCACTGCTTTTCCAGAAAATCAACATCATTCTTGCTGTCATTATGGTTTCCTCATACAACATGATCCATTTTGCCATGCTTGGGTGCTCACGTGATAGGTAATCCCCTCTTGTATTCATGATAGAGATTAACTGATGTTGTCCAGCGAGGTACATCCCAGAGCATTACTGTCACGGTCATAAACATGTCCTTTTTATTTATCCTTTCTTTGATGAGCAGATATCATCTGTGCTTGACATAATTCTGTGCTTAGAATCTCTAATAATAATAATTGTATCGGCATATAATGTGCACTTAAGTGGGAACCAGATCAGGGCACCATGTTACATTATTGTTATTCCAGCTCACCAGGTCTATGAAAAATTCCTCAAACCGTCTCAGCTGCCTGGTGAGGTTTACGGCTTGATGCTGTCAGAAATTGGCCTGAAGTTGAATGTCTTGATCACAATACAACTCAAAAGTCATAATTGGTATCTACATGTATATTTCTAGGAAAACTGGTTTGCCTTACAGCTTCTGACCATTTAAGTCATTGATAAAATACTACTTGCAACTATTTAAGGAGTGTTTTTTTTTAACCGCATTTATCATGCTTTTTGACTCATTAAAATGGGCATAGCTACATCCAGTTGACTTTGGAATTTTTCTGTAACCAAGTATGCAGTGCCTTTATTATTTGTTTTCGCTGTACCACTTTTTACATTCATGAATTTTTTTCACTGTCCTGATTTTGCATTTGTAATCTATATTCCATCCTGATTGCCTCTGTCAGCTCCCCAACTTTGGTCTTAAATTTCTCAGTCTATTTCATTCTGCCAATCTGCAGAAGCTACAGTATGTGGAACCAGCTTCAATTTCCATTGATGAACCTTTAAACTTGCTCGAGTATTAAAGAGACACATGAGTCATCTACAGGCATTTTTTTGTACAGTGAATTGGTACTTCTGTCAGAAAATGAGACGAAAATCATTGACTTTAATCAGTATGTCAGGTTGTGTAATGGTATAAATCTTGGGTTAGGACGAATTTGACATAATCCCTTGCCTAATAAAGGGGTTGCGGGCCGTCGAAGAGACCTGAGCTTGACTAGTTTAGAAAGTGGACATGTAGATTCCCTAGCGAACCCTTGAGCACCTAACTTTACCCCATCAGAGGAGACAGGAGCATCATTAATCGCCGACATTCCAACCTCGGCTCTTCTATCACTTTCTATCACTGCTGTCACTTGTGTGCATGTTTCTGTGGTCACTCGTTCAGTTTATACGTCCATGCGGACATACACATGCACACACCCACGCACTCTCATCACCTGCACTCATTTCCAACATCACTCGCTTCATCAAGTAAGCAATCACCGTTTCCTGTGTGAGAGTACATTCTTAGTCTGTAGACGAGTACCACAACGTAGCACTTCAGAGAATGATTGAAACTCTTCCATAGCAGGTGCGCATGAGACACAGTGAACTGTGGGACAGGAGTCAAGTCTATCTGTACCTGTGTTGTAATTTACTGTAGCGTGAGCAGTCTAGACATTGTGAAGAGGTTTTTATATCTGGCAGCCAGAAAGTTGATCTTTCTATCATGCACACAAGCTTTGGGAAAATTTTTCCTTTACATTAAATACACAAAGATAAGTTTTGTCCCAGACAAATTATGCTTTACCTTTCTGACGTCTGGTTTGGTCTCAACTCAAAGGCATAATTGCCTCCAGTTTTGGCCTGACAAATGAAAATATTCACAGTATTTGAAAGTTTTATCGCAGCTGTCAGAACGATTATCGTTCGGAGAAGTGGTATAGTGTCAAAACAAAATTTGAAACCTTGTGCTTTGTAGAATTGCTTTCTAGCAATCACCCGTCATGCAACAGCGGTAGTGTCCATCTCATCCTGCATTCATTGTGACCGTTTGTTTCTCTGTCTGCATGTTGCTTGTGCCTTGCATGTTGAGTTTTTGTATCTCTGTCCATACACCTTGGATGTATCTGTTGGTAAAAAGGTACAGAAGAGGGTTGGTTGTATTTAGACATCATTGTCTTTGGAGAAGAATTCTGAGATGCATTGGCCCTTTACCAGACGCATAGCATTTGATAACTTGCTGGAGTTAAGTCAGTCGGTGGTTACGCATCACTCACGGTGGGGGCTCTTTTGCCTTTTTTCTAGGTCCACAACCTGTGGATGCCCACCCAGAGCTCAAGTCCCCACCAGGCACCAACAAGATCGGGTCGACGGCGGACTTGGAGAGCGTCGCAGGGGAAACCGCCAAGGCATCTGGGGATGCTACTACTAAGCCAGCGACTCCAGCCCCAGTGGAGAAGGACACGCCGGTCAGCACGCCGGAAACAGCAGAACCTGTCAAGCTCAAACCGTCGCTCAGCATGAAGAACAGTAACAAAAAGGTAAGCATCATCTAGAGAAGTCAAAATTGGTGGGAGGTTTCTCTTCATTTTTTGTTCAACCGTAGAGACAAAAAACTGCACTTTTCCCTTGAAAGATGGTCAGTGTATAAAATATATTTATGTCTCAATATTTGGACTGTAGGAGTTGTTTACAGAACAGTGAGCCACCAAGCATTGCTTTGCGTAGTAGGTAATGGTCTATTCCTGTGTGTGGTATTTCTTTCGCTTCAGGACTGGGCTGTTTTTATGTTATAAGAACTGATCTTTCAAACACTGAAAGACAAGAAACCCTTAATATACCCAACACAAGAAGATTCTGAGTGATTTATCATATAAAACACAAGGGTTATGGCTTCTTGCAGGATTATGCATGCAAGATGTTGACGGGGAAGTTGAAAAGTGGCCTCATTTATCACAAGTGCTTGGTGGTTCTCCGTTATTGTGAATCCCACCCATAGTAATTCTCTTTCACAGATTTTCTTAATACCCAAACACATGAGGTTGATTTGGCAATGCCAACTTAGCATGTTGCTGATCCTGATCATTGACAGGGTTCAGGTTGACTTGGATCAATGCATGCCAGGTTGCCAACTTAATAGTTGCTGATCTGGATCAACGATGAGGGTCATTGACATGGATCAGTGCATTTCAAGTTGCCAACTTGGCAAGTTGCTGATCTGGATCAATGATGACGGTCGTTGACCTAGATCAACCCATGCCGACTTGCTGTACAGGCAAACCCAAATCCTTCTTGTTTGTCAACAGAAGTTGTTTTTCTTCCGAAACAAATACCGTTTGTTTGGGTGTGGGTACCCTTCCTGTTGAGCCATAATTGTTCCGATCCCTGTTGCTAATACAATGCCTTACTGCTGTCTTCAACTAAATGCTCTTGGAGTGAATCCGAGTGATTTTCCGTTGTACTGATGCTCTTGTCATTAACCAATTTGTCAGCTAACATGTTTTAATAGTTGCGGTGTGGTGTTCTCTCTCTCTTTTTCTCATTGACTTCACCTTCCTTTGAAATGTCTCCTCTTCGATCCTTCCTTCTGTTTTGTAATGTTTGAATATTGCTCCCTGTCCTGCCCTCCTTTTGACATCCTTGACAATCTCCGTTCATACTAACATTTTATGTCTTTTCTCTTCACTGAACCCTCCTCTTTCCAATCTTGATTTGTTCTCCCTGTTCTTTGTGTGTGTTTGTGCCATCTTGTACCGCACTTTTCCTCCTTCTCACATCCGACTAACCTCAGAACCTCTCCCGAGTGCAGCTACTCGATTCCAGAGCTGAGGCCAAGGCCGAAGCCAAAGCCCTTGCCGGGGAAAACTTACAGGCAAGTACCCACCCCGCCATAAGGACGCCATAAACGTCTGCCGGGGGCTTCGCATCCAAATCCAGCTCATGTGGATTTCTGACAGTTGGTAACCCAGAGTTAGTCAGTCAGACGGCATGCTGAAAGTCTCACTCCTCGTTCAATACTACATCCTCAGCATTGGCCAAAAGCCATCAAAAAGTCTTCCGTTCCCTTTTTTTTTCCTACCTAGTCTCAAGTTGGTCATTGTGTAGCCTACAGAAAATCAGTTTGAGTCGTACATTGAAGTTGTACATGTAAACACATTACTCCTCGTTCAAATGACCAAAAGGTTTGATTTGATGCATTAGAAGAAATTGTCATGCACGGTTTGCATCCCTTAGTGGATTCTGGGAACAAATCTTGGTTGTTTGTAGTGTATTTGTAGTTGTATATGTAGTGGCCCCCACCGATGGCGGCATGCATTGTGTGAACTGTTGTATAGAACCACTGTTCTGTGGCATTTGCTCCATACAAAAGCAACACAGCGCTTTCTGGCATTAAAGGGGGCCATTGGGAGTGCCCAGCGAAATATCAATGGATTCGTCTAAAGGAACAAAGATTCTTTGCCATACCAGTGGATACTGCTTAAACCATCAACACCTGTAACCCAGGCAAATTCCTGACTGCATTTCCTGGACTCAGTAGGGATTTTTGTGTTTGTCTTGCAGGGTGTTGAACAGCTGTCGCAGGATGAGGAAGCCGCCATGGTGGCCAACTACCGGTACACAGGAGCCACCACCAACATCCACCCCTTCTTGTCTGCTCTCGTCAACTATGCACAGCCGGTCAAGTTCCAAGGCTTTGATGTAGCTGAAGGTAGGGTCCAATACCAGACTGGGAAGTAAGGACAGAGAACTGCTGGTGTCCAGGCCAAGATTGGTACGGATGCTTGTATCTCTGTGACTGACAAGGGAAAAAATTACTTGACAAGTTTGACCTGACGTCAAAAGTCAATGTCAGTTATACAAAATCCATCACTATTGTTGTATTTTGGATTGTTCAGAGCATTTTTTCATGTATGAAGGATCTCCATAGCAGGTACCAAATTTTCTCTTTGATTTGAATTTGTATGTATTCATAATTACTAGGCAGGCTCGAAGATTCTTGGGAAATACTGTCTCTAAAGAAATATGAAATGATGTTTACTACCAAATGAGTTTTTTTTGGCATTAAGACCAAATGTTAAAGACTACTGTAAACATTTTTTGTTACCTGTGTCTGCCTTGGTTAATGTTAGAAATTCCTGTTTTACTTCTTTCATCCTTGATATTTATTTCCTGAAATTTGCCGGGGAATTCTGTGTGTGATGATAGTCAGGAATAGATCCCACTTGAAGAGAAATTTTGAAAAAATTGACTGGAAAGATATAATGTATGTTGCTCTAAACAAGGCAGCACTTTGCTTTTGTGAGACCAAAGAGCTTGCATGTAACCTTGACCTGTTTTGTTGTTTTATTTCAGAACGGAGTTTTCATTTCAATATGTCGTCCTTCAATGAGGCAGTTGGCTTGGGCTACATTAAGACAAGCTGTATAGAATTTGTCAAGTATCCTTTCTAAGAAAAAGAAAATATGTTGGTAGAATTTATAATAAAGACTGGTTTGGGAAAATGAATTGATCTTTGAGGTTGGCCAGATTTATTTTGTTTTTAGATAAAACAAAGCTTGTCGTGGTATTGCTGATCCGAACTTTGTCGGTAGTTTGGTTCGTCAGCATCGGCTCGTACAGACTAGGGCAGTGAGTGGCTAACTGAACGGGCTTTGGGCATGGACACAAGAAGGCCCTTGGCTGCCTAGTGATGATTTCTTTTGGGCCAACACCCCTGGCCAATGTGCAGTTCTCTGGTTGGCACATGTCATTTCTCTCGTAATTGAATGTATGCATATCAGCGGGGGCAGGTTGACGGTTCTGGAACCTTTTATTGTCATTATCACTATGAATAGACCTCTCTCTTTCTACGCCCAAGTCATACTTGTTGGTCCCCCAGTGGCTGGTAAACAAGGGCTTGGCTGCTAAAGCAAAACAATAATTCACAAAGTAGTTAAAAGTCTTATTTTAAAGTTATCAAAGCACCAACTGATTGATATTGCTCTTGATAAAATTCTTGCTAACTTTTGCAGAATTTAGCTTATTTTTTGTTGTGCTGAGTACAATTTGTTCTTGCCACCTGCTCAAGATTTATAGCTAAAGTTTGTAAACATTTATCATTTGGCTACAATGGGGACTGACAGCAGGAACTCTGCAAATGCAAATGACATGCCCCTTTACAAAAGCAGGATGGCAAATGTGCACTTTAAAGGCAAAGCCTGACACTAACCAAGGCAGCTATTTCTGCAATACGTTGGTCACCCACACAAAGGAAAATGGAAACATGAGAGAGAAACATGTCGTCTTGGAGGGGTAACCAGGCAGTTAGGGGTACTCATATGGGGAGCTCATACATTGTGTGTACCCATTCTGTCTCCTTATGCATCCTGACTCGAAACGCCACCCCTCCCCCCCCCACTAGCAAAGTAGAGACAGGTTGGAGGGAATTATTTCCCGTTGACACCCTGTATGCAGAGATCATACATTGGACAGACTTTGGTTGGTCATGCTCAGTGCATCCTGGGTCAAATGTACAAACATCTGTGTATGCACACAGTGAGCCCCCCCCCGGGGACCATCTTTGCCATGTAAGAAGCATGCCATCTTTTGTTCCCGCAAGGAGCAGATTGCCTCACACTCACGGTTGTGAGTCTTCCGTGGTACCCTGCTTCTCCCTTAACCTACCGATCCCTCCCCCAGCTACAACAAGCGTCAGATGAGTCGGATCTACCCCAAGGGAGGCCGCTATGACTCCAGCAACTACATGCCGCAGATCTTCTGGAATGCCGGCTGCCAGATGGTGGCGCTGAACTTCCAGATGCCTGACATCGGCATGCAGCTCAACCAGGGCAAGTTTGAATACAACGGCTCGTGCGGGTGAGTCTTTGCACCAGACCTTATTTCTCTGTATTGCATTTCTTATTATCTCTATAGCATGATTTGGTTAACGAGTTGATTAGCTGGAGCACATTCAATAATGCACTAGCATGCTTATGTATGCGTACTATCAACAATAATCATATACGGAGTACCAGTATTACCATTCTTCTTGCACTGTTGAAGGCATCCCTGGTTGCACATAAAATGGCTGTTAATTCCCTAAAGAGCGGAGGTGGTTTTTCAGAAAGTTTCATTTCATTTCATATTGGTTTATTAAAATCCATTTTCGCAGTAAAAAAAAAACTGAATTACAATGGATTTAACAATCAAAATAAAAAAATTAAACTATTAAAATAAGAATTTAAAAAAATCAGAATTAAATAGTTACAAAAATATTCGACATTTACCATTACAGTTTACACTCACAAAAAATAAACCATATAACATGACTAATGACCAACACTCATATAAGAACACGTCCGTGGCAATTTACACTTCAAAGATGAAATTATTGTGATCTTAAAAATGTCAGTCACATGTAACCTTTAAACTTTCACTCCCATGTAAAAAAAAAATGTAATAGAGGGCACGCTGAGCAGGAATACTGATGGATGTGACCATAAGCTTCAGTAATGGTAGATATGGGCACTTTAGAAATATCAGTTTGTGTAGTTGTGATATGAAAGGAAATTCTGCTATGTGTATGTTAGAACTGTTTCAATTTCACAGTGGTTAAATTGACGCCACCAAAAAATGTATTAAAAACTGTGGACAAAAGTGAAGTTGGTATGTTGGGGTGAAATCACAATACTTTTTTGCAGTTTTGCACTTCATCATGGAGCCTTTGTTTTATCATACCTCTGTCATGACGGCTTTTTTCATTGGCTCAGAATGATCATGTGACAGGGCGACATAACCGCATATAACACGCACTGTTAGACATCACATCAGCCAACGTTGTATGATATTACCCATGTTCATGCTCGTATAAAAGTGCCCCTGTAATGTACAGGGTAATGCAGGGACTGCTAACCACTAATGTTCAAAGATTCCTTTGTCGCCCTTAATTTTCCTTAGAGAAACAAGCAAAAAAACACTATCAAGACAGAGATATGACAAAACGGTTGTTGAATTTAGGTGACGTAGGATGTGACATTTTGAACATCTGTTCCCTGGGTTTTCAAAACATTATATCCCACATCACAGCAGTCAAAAATTGTTAAACGTCTGATGCTTATTGGCCTTAATACTGTAATCTGTCTGTATCATATCTTGGCAGGTACTTATTAAAACCGGACTTCATGAGGCGACCCGACAAGTCCTTTGACCCCTTCTCAGAATCACCAGTGGACGGAGTGATCGCTGCCACTTGTTCTGTCAGGGTAAGCAGTAACGTTCTGGTCAGGTGCTTCACTTGCACTTCACAAATGTTTGTCACTTGTCATCACAGGTACTTTACTTTGTATCTTCCCTAGAGATTCTTTTTCATGGAGGTGAATCTTCCAATTCTGTTTCGTTTCAAAACTGGGAAACAACCAATTTTTCTAATTTCACATTAATGTATTCCTGTCCATTATTATGCATTTCCAGGTCATCTCAGGGCAGTTTTTATCGGACAAGAAAGTAGGCACCTACGTTGAGGTTGACATGTACGGGTTGCCGACGGACACCATACGGAGGGAACATAGGACCAAGACAGTACCCAACAATGGATTGAATCCAGTGTACAACGCTGAACCCTTTGTATTTAGGAAGGTCAGATTTTGTGTCGAGTTGCTGATTGTTACTTTCTTTGTGACTCAGTCTAGTTCATATCTTGAAAGTTTTGCATTTAGATAGGAGTGTTTGTTTTTGTGTTCTTTTTACCTTGTTTGCAGTCCACGTGTTTTGGCTTTTAAGTGATTTGGTAGTGTATTTGACTCTGTTTTATGTCCTGTTGCCTTCTTTTGTTGAGGATGTACAGAGAAAAGGGAAAACAGTTGTGGGTTGTTTAGTCTACTGTTGGAGAACGTTTGTAGCATTTGAATTTTGAAAATTGATTCTGAAAAGGAGAGTCAAGTAGCCTACAGATTGTCTGTCACTCTAAAAATGTTTTGGCAAGGAAGTTTTTTCAAAATGAGCCACACAAGTGAAATCACGTTTTAGCTGCATTTATGAAGTTGGATCTTTTTGCAAGAACAGCACAACATTGTTTTGCGATTGAAATCGGGAAAGATAAGATTGCTTGGCGAAGATTGGGCTCAGAGGCAGAATGACCAACCGGTTACCTTCTAACGTGTCAGGCTAATGCAAACATTTGAGATCAGAAGAAAGGATCAGTTCTCACAATAGGATCTCAACCGTTATCCTCTGGTGACCTCCGATTGACGTCTCCGGTCTTGCTGGTTTTAATGCAGGTTGTATTACCAGATTTGGCTGTTCTGAGAATCGCCGTCTATGAGGAAAACGGGAAGCTGATTGGTCAGAGAATATTACCCCTGGATGGCCTGCAAGCCGGCTATCGACACATATCGCTGCGGACGGAAGGCAACTTCCCTCTGTCTCTACCTACGGTCTTTTGCTGCATTCAGCTCAAGACTTATGTACCGGATGGTCTAGGAGGTGAGTCACGTCACTGTCTCCCCTTGCCTTGCAGTACCCCGTCATCCACAAAGGAGACACCATCTGATGTGGAAAACTTGTTGACCAGCAAAGGTGGGAAGATGGCACATTTTTATCAGACATTGGTCGCACATCTGCACCTAGCGTCAACCATGTATGAACCTCTGTACGCCTGTGGTGTCTTCCCACCAAAAGGATGTCATGTCCCATGTAAAAACACACTGTGGGTCGCTTCTTCTCAACATGCATTTCAATTTAAAACTATTCCCCAGTTTTTTTGTTTTTTTGGTGGTGTATGTGCATGTAATTCAGCCGTAAACAGTGTGGAAGGACACCGTAATGCCGTCGACCTCAAACTACCTTTGACCCGCCTCTCTTCCTTCCTTTTCAGATTTTGTGGATGCGTTGTCCAAGCCGATGGAATATTTGTCTCAAGCAGAGAAGCGAGCCAAACAGATGCAGTCCATGGGCATTGAAGAGGTTTGTGCTAACACACACGTAGGTCCATCTTCTGGACCACCGTTGTAACTGGCATGAAACTTAGAGGAGGGGATGGGTGGGCACATTAGGTTGGGCACATGAACTGCAGCGACAAATGCAGATTTTCTTCTATTCAAGACCTCAAACGGGGCGGGAAGAGGCATGCTGGGTGGCACATGCCCCCCCCCCCGCGCCATTAATCTGAACCTGGGTGCCTACAGCAGCATTGGGTAATGTGTTCTATTTCATTGCTGTGTTCATGCGGTCTATTTCATTGGTTCCCTTGCCTGAAATTGACTTGAAGAATTCCAAACGTGTTTGTGTTTCTTTTCAAAAGTGTCCTTTCCGACTTAACCTTCCCCCCAACCTTTTCCAGAATGACATCAGCGAAGTGCCAGTGGCAGGGAAGAAGAACAGCAAAGCGACCCTGAGGCAGGGTGCTAAATCCCCCACCACTCCCACCAACACCATGAACAGCTTTGCACCAACCACCAACTGTAAGACCCAGGACTCGCTTCTTTTTACAAGTCTTGGGTTATTGACTTCAGTTATGCGAAGCATTTAAAATGATTTTTTTTTGCAAATGAGACTAAGTATGACATTTCTGCTGTGCTCATGAAGAATAGAAATAGTTGAAGTACTCCATTAATTGGAGTAGCATCAACAAGGATGGCTATCTGACTGGCCCATAACATTTATTGCTAGGTTGATGTGAAGACTTGGGTGCAAAAACGAAAAATGAAAATTTTAACGTGTGAGAAAATCAGCATCAAAACAACACAGAGCCATTATAGTGTGCACAAATGGGTACTGTCGATTTCATCCTATCTTGAGACCTCTTTAGAAGAGAATTTAAATTGCCCAGGAAAAACTCACCAGTAATGCATATGGCTTTCGTAAAATTTGTTTTTACTGGCTAAACTAAAACTGGAGAGAAAGAGTTCCCACCTCAGTGTACCATTGTTATTTTGCTGTTGTCGTTCTCAGCTGTGATGCCGTGTCTATCAACAGACACACTACAGAAGGACAAGGTCTACCAAAAAGTCCTGAAGAAACAAAGCAAGGAGATTGAGACCTTGCAGAAGAAACATTCCAAGGTGAGAGGCCTGCTGGAGGCAGGCAGAGACTCTCTGGGCAGTCTTTAAACAGACTTACAGCAAGTTAAAGTTTACAAGGATCTAATGTCGGACGCTGTCCATGAGGCTGTTAGACTTTTATTTTTGATTTCACTGTGTTTCCTTTTCTAATTAGAGCACCTAGGGGTAGTAACACACTAGGCATTTCATCAAATTAGTATTTTTATTATTACTTAGGAGATGATTTGAAGGATGTAATTCATATTGAGGGTTGGTTCAAGCATTCATTTGAGGCTGTGTTCTGCTGTAATAACTATTGAAAAAAAATTGGTTGAGGTCAATGTCCTCAGTAATCCCAAGGTGCACCGAGCATGGTTCATGCTGCATTTTACTGGGAAGCACGCTTGGTTTGTCGACAGCAAATGCCGTATTGAATCTAAGAATGTTGGTGGCATAGAAATTAGCTCCGAGTGTTGCATCTGAGTGGAGATGGAACTGGCCTTTTGTAGATTGATGCAGCAACGTGTGTTGAAGGTGTTTCTTCATTAGCGACATTGACAGTCAGCGAAAATTACTTTCCACCCCTCAGGAGTGCACATTAGTGAAAAAGTCTCATGACACGGTGGTCGATAAGATGACGGGAGCCCATGACAAGGAGAAACTCAGTGAGGAGAAGTCACTGGAGAAGGCTATTAAGAAGAAGGGGTGAGCAGTTGTTTGTTTGTTTGTTTGTTGGGGTGTTTGTTTGTTTGTTTGTTTGTTGGACTGTCTAGCTAGGTTTATGCGGGGAAGGGGGGAGCTGTGCCAAATGAGCCACCAAAGCCGCAGAAATGCGAGTGTACCAAAGTCTCCTTTGTATCAGTTGGTGAGATTGGAGCATGAAGATGGCATTCTCCAACAGCTCAATGCTGAACGATTCCTGCTCACCAATGAGAAGAAACACAAGTTGAGTATACTCCGGTCATACCCGACGAGCAAGAGGGATAGCCTAGGACATAATATCAGGCTACCATCCAAGAAGATGTGCAGAGGCCGGCCCAGTCACTTGGGGGTGGGGCGAGATCCGCCAAAGACAAGGCACCATGGCAGGGCTTGGTGCGGCGAGCTACTGGCGGAGGGGATGGCTGATCTCCGTTAATGGAGACCACAGGAAGGGAAAGGGGGCTGTTTGTCAATGTAGAGAGCCGGGCTGTCGCAATCATACAGGGCTGCTTTTGGAGTACAGTCATGTCTATGTAATTTATGGTGGGTTTGGCATAAACTTTCAAATTCCTCAACGCTGTTACCTTTTGTGTTACTGGGGATGATCCTTTTTATGCCCGCTATCACCGCAGTACTTTCTTTTCCATGACGATCCTTCAGGGGTTTTCCGTCAATTCTTTGCATACATTTTGATACCTATTTCATGAAAATCAGATATTCTGCTCTCACAGTGTGCAATGTCCATTTTTCCAAGACAGGGTGGCCAAAAATGTTAACTTTTCTCCACTGATGTGCTCAAGTGCGTTGACTGCCGTGAGGGAGAGTATGCATTGTAACTGAAAAATAAAAAATCCTAAGTGAAACTTCACAGCTGTATTGTCCACAGCTGCACTGTTGATTGTAGGAACAGGTTTTCCTTCGGTAAAAAAAGCCAAAGGTCAAGATCACAATGAGAAATAGGCTGAGTCTGAATTACTCACTTACGGCTGGAAATAAGACCTGTCTATGGGAAATACCTGAAGCCAATAGCTGGTGGCCTCTATAGGAATGTGTGCTGTTCCTACCTTCAGCCAGGTAGATGCAGCCATCATATCCACTAAGATTTGTGCACAGTTGGTCTGGTACCTCAACCCTCCTGTTTACAGGTGAACATATCTTAACTGCAGGGATTCCAATTCAGTATAGAGTGCCGAAGTGTGATGTCATTTTGGACCGGGAAGTGTAGTGTAAACGAATGGAGTATGCGGGCATGTTGGTTCGCGTGTTGGCTTAATATGCATTTTTACACACTCTATAGTAGCGCAAGTATGTGATGGCTTTTCATTCAGAATTGGTCATCAGTTCTGATTGACATCGTCTGTAGTTAATTGATTGAAAGATTTAAATGCTGTTTGCTTTTTCAGGGAGAGCAACTGTGGCGATCTGAAGATTGAGACCGAGAACAAGGTACATTCTATTGTCAAGGTTCATAAGATGAGGGTAAGTGCAGGATTTGTGACTACTGCGGTATGTATTCCTGAAAGGGTCCATGCAATGCAAGTCCTTTAATACACCCTGTAAAAACACAAACTTGGTGTCTTGACCTTATTTTCCGTTTTTTTGTTCTGCTATGTGAAGGGTATTCGGGCCCTCTTGGTGAAAACCTGAGATGTGATCTTGCTGGGAAACCCTCACGTTGCATTGATTTAAGCACAAAGAATAGGTTGACTTTTGTATTTTGCTGTTCCTGATTTCCTTTTCTTTTGTGATTTTTCTTAATAAATACATGGCAATAAGCCAAGAAGAAACCTTTTAGCAGAAATGTTTTCAGTTAAGCAACCTTTGGATTCACAGTTTTGACAGAAAAACATGCACATTGAACAGTGTTGCCATGCACGTCAATAGTGACCTCAGTTATCCAGAAAAACATGAAAAATTTCAAATATGCAAATAAGTGCACATTTAATACCTATGTCATTCAGTTTTCATACTTTGAAGTTGTGTACAAAGTTACACCAAAATAAGTGCCTAAGAAAAATTAGTTGCATGGACCCTTAAAAAAAAGAATAGGCACTATGCACATACTGGTTACGTATGTGTGGCCATCACTTCTCTCAAGTCGAAGGTCTAATCCTGACCCTTAATCTTAACTCTTTTTTTTGGTAACCAGCAGGGGCTTCAGGCAGAGCCCCCGGTAATGGTATCTAGGCATGCTCTGTCTTGTTTGCACCTTGTTCAGGTGAAGGGCGTGGTGTCGGAGCAGAACAAGGAGTGGTGCAAGATCACGGCACGTCAGCAGGCCGAGATGAACGACCTGAAGGAGATGCACGTCCACCAGCAGTGCGACGTCCTCCGGAAACTGATGACGCAGAAGCAGACGGACCAACGCAAGACCCTGGAAGGCAAGCACTCCAGGTGAGGGCCGGAGCTGGGTTTCAGTCGTGTGTAGCACACGCCCTGTCATGCACCACGCGTAGTCTGTGTTCATTTATAGACACTGCAGAAAGGGGCATACATGTACATTCTGCACAAGGCAGCATGGACTCAGCACATTTGACTTGGGGCTATGGGGGGAGTTCACCCTGACATCTCTGGAATCGGAATAATGTGCTTGGGACAACAGTCAGCAACCAGCTCCTCTGTGCAGCTGCTGCATTCTGAACTCATTTCAATAACAATGAAGACCTTCTTGGTCGGTTACGTTGATATGTATAAAAGTGTGGGGGGAAAATGCAGTCGTCTGCTGGTGACCAAAGTTGGGAAAATCTTGATCAAAATGGAGTTTCACCTTATTTTATAAACTCTCTCAAGGTTGGAATTTTATCTTTGAGTAAGGTTTGCCTTTTGATGTTTGAGGCATCCTAATGCTTTTGTCTTTGTGTGGTGTCCCATGTAAAACAATGACTCCCTGGTGGCCATATATCTGCTTTTTTTGTCACCCAACTAGTGGAGAGGACTTCATTTATACCTCACCATGTTGTAGTCAAGACCTTTTAGGACCATCATAACCACTTTATGCCGGG